CCACAATTATTTCTACTCTAGAAGAATTTGAAACATAACAGTTACTGTCCACCCAATAAGAGTTAGGATTAATAAAATAGACATTCTATTCATAATGAACCATTGACCAACATATATAAATTATCAAGCCAAAACACAACCTACATGGCCTGACGATTGCGTCCAGCATGAAACAGACTGTCGCCTCTAATTGTTGACTTCAATGTTCACTTATATATATATATATATATATATATATATATATATATATATATATTGTGAAATATGTTGTGTAAAATGGTTTCACAGATTGCTACGCGATCGAGTAAGATTGTATCAAGTACTTTATACGTATTATTATCATTTCATGCGCCTGGTGTCATTTTTACGATACGCGTTTATTTGAATTAAATTTAAATTGTATCATTACAAAAATGCCACAATGTTGTCAGGAAAATCTTGTCTATCACACTGACAAAAATCCAATTGATAGTCGAAAGTACTTGAAAAAAAAAAGAATATAACATGAACTTTGGACAATTTATGATTCCATTGGACGCCAACTTATTCGAAAATTGAATAAAGAAAATGAGAAATTGAATAGACAGACCATGTCAGTTTAAATTAAGAAAACTAGCTTAAATGAATTCTTGCTGTTTAAATATAATATATATATATATATATATATATATATATATATATATATATATATATATATATATATATATATATATATATATATATGTATTGGTGAGGAGACACGGCTTGGATTGAGGAGAGCTGAGTTCGAATTCAGTCGAATCCATTATATTCACTTACGTGCTAATACCCTTGGGAAAGGTGTGAATCCTCTTCTTCTCCCCCCAGCTATAGGTAAATAGCAGGAAAGACTAGGTTCTATAGCCTTGGATGGCAACTGGTCTAGGAGAAAGACAACTCTGAATTCAAAACCTGCGGAGGGTCGTTTGGGGACCTTGTGACAGGTAGTGCACCAGGTCTCTGTAATCGGCCCTTCAAAAAGTGTGGATGGTCTTGCACGAGGCCTTCACCATTATAATCAAATCTCATAGGAACCGATCTGCTTGATCCTCATAAGTCGAATTCGACGGGAGAGTCTAATACACACGCACACACACACACACACACACATATATATATATATATGTTATTTAAATAAAAAGAAAGAACAGTAAGATATGTAATCCTGTGTTCTTATTGATATTTTTTCGCTACACAGTAATAACCATGTTTAAAAAATGGAAGCTAAAAACTTTAAATTTAATTTTGTAATTAAATTAAAAACATTAGTTCCATTTCATCCTCAAGCGAATTTTGATATATATATATATATATATATATATATATATATATATATATATATATATATACGCATACAAGTATAGGATTGGTGTACACGGAATAAATTCCAATGACCAAAAATACAATTCTTATAACAGTGCTCAATACAGAGTAGCGCAAATATAATTTATTCGAAATGTTATAATTTTCTAATATATATATATATATATATATATATATATATATATATATATATATATAAAGGGACGTTTTCTAGACTCTGTCAAAAGGAAAATTGTGAGAAAATTATAAAAAAGTGAATAAAAAGTAATAAAATTTTCATTGGCCATCACATTCAATACAACTCCCCATATATATATATATATATATATAAAAAGCCATTAAAAATTGATGTTTGGTCATTAGGTGAGATTTGGGAAGGGAATGAGAGGGGAGAATCTGAAAAAAAAAATAGACACACACACACACACACACACACACACACACACACACACACACACACACACACACACACACATATATATATATATATATATATATGAAGGAGAGAGAAAGAGAGAGAGAAGGAGAGAGAGATAAGGTAGAAAGTGAAAATGTTGTTTCATCGTAAGGACATTGTACACGTACTCGTGTTTGCTCAACACAAGGATCCGAGCAAATATTGAATCCAGTGAGAATAACTTCGTCTTATATTTCATCATTATTCATCTTGAGTCTTCATCAATCTCTAACGTCATCATTCATCATGGGCGGAAACCACAAACAAAGTTAGTGCTCCCAACCGACATACCGCCAAATCCTTGCTACACACTTACACACTTAGTTTCTTCACATCAATGATAAACAAAGTAATCGATACACACCTCATCACCGATGATCGAGGAAATTTTCGCGAAGAAGGCGTCTATAAACGTCTACTTGTTTATAAATATGTCCATGAATTTTTTTTCATCCTGTAAAGGTTTAACTTTACAAGTCTGAAACTTTATATTCATAGTATTGTACAAGAAGAGACAACAGTTCAGTAGAAAATTTGTTACCTCGCTTCGTAATCTCTCGTCAAAATTGCGCTTCTATTGGGGCTAAATTTTGAATGTTGATTTCCAATCACTGACAAATTGATGCTATTTACTCTCATTACCATTTAGGTAATAAATTAGTTTCGTCTGGCAATTTCTGAAACCCACCTAAAGCATAGCCGTATTTATATCAGTAAGAACCAATGTCTGAGTTGGTGGGCGTATTGTTTATGTAGGAAACGTTTGTATAGGTACTTAGTAAACTTTGCTTAGTGTGGCTCAAGGCTACAAGTATCAGGTACAAGTATTAGGCACTCAATTACTATCTATATAACACTAAAACTCTATTCTTATATGTATGTTCTCGAAATACAGCTTAAATAATATATAATACCTCGACCAGTTTTGGAGTATATTCTACTTTGAACCAAGGCCGAGAGTAGTAATAAATTTCATTAAAATTAGACAAGGGGTTCTTAAGTTAGGACCGTTTGTCTGTTTTTACTGCATTTTTAATAGGAAATTCAGTATTTGTTTTCAATACACATTCTTATATCAATTTGCGTATATAAACAAACACTTACATATTATATTCCAACTATTATGCGCGTGAAAAATAATAAACCTGCATAAAACGTTATGAATCTTATTAAATAAATTTAACTATACATAAAACAACATATATTTATACAATTCACTACATTATAACTTTTTTAAGAAACAAATATCTCGGATGTTTGGCAAGTACTTGATAGGTGAAGACGCTATGTTTGAAAAAATGTATGGCTAGAAAATTGTGTCACATGACTTGAGGGTAAACGAATAAATAGATGCACGCAGGTTTTCTGCCGTTACGTATTCTGAAATAAATGTGAGAAAGAAACAAGTATGTATAACAAAAAATATAATTATTATTTTGAAAAAAATTACCTAGAAAAAAATGAAACTAAGTACACAAAAAGGAGGTATCCATACTTTATGTTATTAAAATAAATAGGAATTTCTCTAAGTAGACGATTGCTGTTTGTTTGTTTTTGAATGACCTTCACCTTTGAAAATTACCTAGAAAAAAATGAAACTAAGCAAAAAGGAAGCATCCATGCTTTATATTATTTCAACAAATATGAATCTCCTTAAGCAAATTCTATCGATATTTATCGATTCTATTTAGCCATTCAAGTCATTCATCATGACCGGAAACTCATTATTTAAGTTTATTCAAGTTTTTTCTCTTCCCCAGGATCATAAAGCCCATTTTTACCGGTTTTTTTTTTTACCAACTGCTATCTTTCAGGTAACATCAGAATTCCATCTTATTCCCTGTTAGCTTTCACAGCAAAAACATCGCTCGAGGTGCCTTTGTGTTTTCTTTCAGAGAATTGGGATTTTTTCCATTATCAAATTTCTATAAAAACCAAAATAAATGTTAATCTGAAAGCGTAATATCTGGTGAATACGAAGAAGGAGTTAAAATTTTACGGCTAAGCTATAACAATTATTGCTTGGTTTGCAAAACACGTCATTTAGCATTATGGCGATGGAATAATACTTTTTTGATAACTCATTTTGAATGCATGCTTTTCGTTGATTGCAACCTACAGTTGACCTAACCTGAAGCAGTACTTGTTCAAATCAATCATTTGGTTCTTCGGAAAGGGGCTTAGAATTAATACAAGACTAACTTCCAAACTCACTTGATTTGCAGCTTTCTTTAGATGAAAGCTTTGTATTGGTACTGTTAGAGGGCGATTACCTCACGATTTCTTGCATCACATGTTGTTGCAATGTATCTATTTTCATCGGTCGCATAAACTGACTCCCGAATAGAACATTTTCGTCACGTCTAAGACAGACACCATAGCGACAAACATGTTATTAAACATTCATTCTAAATTTTTATTACTATAAAATACGAAAATGAGTATAAATTTTAAATTTATGAATTAATCTGGGCTTTCTAGGAACATTTGGTGGCTCTTGTTGAGACTTTAAAAATCATTAAAAAAGAAAACATATTTTAAACTGTTTGTAAAACTACAACTGACTATAAAGTAAATGAAGGATAGAATAAATGAAAGATCTCATAAAGTAAGGATCTCATAAAGTAAGGATCGCATAAATGAATGATCGGATAAATGAAAGATCGCATAAAAGAAGGATCGCATCAAGGAAGGGTCTCGTAAATGAATGATCGCATAAAGGAATGATCGCATAAATGAAGGATCGGATACATTAAGGATCGCTTAAATGAAGGATCGCATCAATGAAGGGTCTCATAAATGAATGATCGCATAAAGGAATGATCGCATAAATTAAGGATCGCTTAAATGAAGGATCACATAAATAAAGGATCGCATAAGTGAAGGATCGCATAAATTATGAAGAAACGTCATTAAGTGTTTTGATCACTTTTTCAACTGATTGCAGTAAACAGAGACACACGCAAGAATAAATATATTTACAAAGAAAAAAAGAAGAATAAGAAGAAGTAGAAAGGAAGAGGAGAAGAAGATAATCGACTTATCAGGTTATATCTATGTATATCAATCGATGTATATATCTTTCCTGAGTAGGATGCAATCCGTACTCTTACATCAACATTGGAACACTGTTTACCCACACTGGATGTCGGATGGCACTTCTCGAGGAAAGAAAATGCATCAAATCGCTGTGGAATATTAATCATTGTGCTGGGGTGAACAGGAGTGGGGGTGTGTGAAAAACGTCAGAATAGCCAAACAGTGCGGCCGACGAGCGAACGAACGAGCGCTCTGACAGCCCGACGAATGAACAAGTCGGTAGGCCTGGCGGGCGTAAGGCTGAAAGCGTTAAACAGAAAGAAAGAAAGACAGAAAGAAAGAAAGAAAAGTAAGAGATGAGACTTAAAACCAAAAAAGAAGGATATGCTTGAAATGAGGTTTGCAGGTTGCGGTGTGTGTCGGGAATGATCGGTACGCATATATTAGGACTGGGTAGGAGAAAAGATACGGTACAATGGTCGAAGACACAACGGGTTGGGACGAGTTGGGATTGAAAAGTAAGGAGTTTGGAGTAGGGAGTCTGGGAGAGCAATGGCGCCAGGGACCAGTGTTAGACTTATTCATCATTAGCAGAATCTTTCTTGCTGACTGAATTGTCCTTTTTTTAGATTTAGGCTTCAGCTTAGTTCTCGAATGATGTGAAGAATATGAAGGCTTGTTGGTTGCGTGTGTAGTATGGGACAGAGAAGTGAGTATGGATGGTAGCGTTGGGTGGTGAAAAGATGACGCCCGTCCGTCGTGTGTAAAGGCGGTGACTGGAGCCATGTAACCAATTCGAGCTTCTCTCGTGAAGTCCGTACCTGACTGCTGATTTCGTTTTATCTAATTTATTTATTACGCGAGCGCATATGAATTTCGGGTGAAATTCATGGGAAACGAGAAAAAAAAAATACCCAAAACTACACACACACAGACACACACACACAGACACACACACACAACATTAAAAACGAAAGAAAGAAAGAAAGAAAATTAAGAAAGAAAGAAAGAATGGAAGAAAGAAAGAATGGAAGTAAATTAAGAATAAAATGACGAATAGGGAAAAACTGGTTAAAGTCTATGAAGAGTATAGATTCGGAGAAGGAAATGAAAGAAAAAAGGTTCGCCTATCGCCCGGTTCACACACATCTCCGCTCCTTTGAATAGGAGTAGAGGTTTATCCTTTTGTTTTCCTGTTCAGGACTGTGTTTCCGGTTCTTTAAAGACTTCTCATTCTACTCCCAGTAGCCATTTCAGTTTTAGTGTCATTATCGTCTTGGGGTGAATTGATTAAAAAAAAAAACAAAAAAAAAAACTGAGATATAAATAAAGAAAAAGGAAAGAGAAAAAAGTGAAAATTGGCTTAGGCAAAAAGAACATTGTTGATAGAAAAGCTAGTCTCGTAGACCGTTTCCAAGTGAAAGAGTTACTCATAATCGTAGTTTTGTGTTAGATACATCTAAGTTTTGAAAATACCTTGAAACAAGACAAACCTGTAATGCAAATAAAGATATCTTAATAAATGGATAATGTGGCTGGAATTGTCCGCATCGGTTCTTGTGAAAAACCTGGATACTAAATTCAGATTTTAAAGGCTATTCCATTATATTGGGAACTTGGTGCGACACACTTTTCTTAACTTAGCTTAGAAAATGATTTTGGCCAATCTCGGCTGAGACAGTTGAAATGGAAAATATAGGAGAAATAATTTAATTTCTGTGATGAGGACTTATCACTGTTTATATTATTTATATTCGGACTATGTTCAGTAGCACTAATCAGCAGTTAGGTTAGGTTTAAGGTTCCACCTTCACTACAGCAAATGGGATTAAATCATTGGATTGTGAATTTGGTGACATAGTGATTGTGAATTCAATCCCTGAGTCGAGCAATGTGTACTTGGACTCAGCAGAAACGTGCCAGCAATAACTGAGCTGTACTAAAAAATATGAACTAAAAGTAAGAATTAGACGATATACCTAGTGGGCTGTGAAACGAGAAGTGTCTGCTCTTGTAGATTAAATAAAGGGTTTAGTTCAGGTTACCCAGATCGATATACAATCGAGGAAAGCCGGAGGGCACATCGGCTGAAATGTTATGATATCGCAACCTAAGAAAGAAAGACAATGTATATGGTAGGAGGGATAGTTGTGAAATAAAAAAAGAAGAATAAAATACAAATATTGCAATCATAGGATGTAAAAAAATGGAACAATAAACCGGAATAAATAAAGTAAAAGAGAAATGTTTTAATGGAAAATAAATAAATAAAGACTTAAGAAAGAAAGATTTCAGAAAGAAAGAAAAAATTAAGAAAAGAAAGATTGAAACGTTTAAGAAAGAAGTAAAGAAAAAAGAGCTAAGAAGGAAAGAAAGGCATAAGAAAGAAAGAAAATGTAGAAAAAAAAAAAAGAAAGGAAAAAAGACTTAAGAGAGAAAGAAAAGAAGCATTTAAGAAGGACCGGAAAAAAAAAAAAGAAAGATTTTAGAAAGAAAGAAAACATAAGAAAGAGAGAAAACTTAAAGAAAGAAACACTTAAAAAAGAAAAAAAAAAGACTTAATTCAGAAAGAAAAAGAAGCATTTAAGAAAGAAAGATCGAAAAAAAGAAAGACTTAAGAAAGACCTACGAAATAAATAAATAAGGAAAAAAGAACGAAAGACTTCAGAAAGAAAACGAAACATTTAAGAGAGAACACAGGATAGGAATAAAACTAAAAAAAAAGAAAGAAAAAAAGAAAGAAAGAAAGAAAGAAAGAAAGAAAGAGATCATTAAAAGCAGTTTTTGTTTAACAGCATCGATTACTTTATGAATATTTAAAAAAAAATAACACGCAAGAATGAAACGAACAAATATTCTGGATGAACAATGACTGACCCGAAATGCTGAGAACGTAATAGTAGGCAATAAATTGAAAAAAGAAATGAAAGAGAACAAGAAATGAAAGCGTGTACGCGCGCACAGTCACCACGCAAACATCCTGTACACACACACACACACACACGCACACACACACAAATAATTAAAACTATAAAAGACTGCTTAATAAATACCCGAAAAGTGCATTCTTCTATTTTCATTGCAGTTATTAACTATCACTTAAGATACCAATTGCTACTAATGTTAATGGCGTTCGGAACCGTGCAAGCTTTATTATACGAGTCTTTATAACAAGGGAGATAAAAAGGTTTGACTTGGAGAAAAATCTTAATTCTTCAACGTAAAGGAGATAATGTGAGTTAAATCAAATGGTTTCTCTTGTATCTTGGTTAATGAAGTAAATCATTTGGATAGACTTATAAAAGTGATTTTGCTGAACTACGACACACGGAACCTCAGTCTATTGTGTCCGATATTATATTCGTCTTGTCAAAGGTGTTTTATAATGAAACAGACAGCCGGGTCTTCTGCAATAACTGGCGTGACTAACTGGCAGAAATTTAAAGGAATTAAAAACCTAACAAAAATTGTTTAAGAACTTCTTTCGTTCGTTTGAAAACATGTTGGATTTCTCATCTGAAATCAATATTGATAGCACATTGCTTTGGGTTTCTTTGCCAAAAAAAAAAAATGTGTCAGTTTCATTATGAGACGCCTGCTATGAATAATCAAGAGTGCTCTCCCCTTGTTTTGTTACTCTCCTTTTTTGAGAGAGTTATTTCTGTTTACTGGGACAATAAAAGGACACTATACGCGAACCTTGTATTCTCAGTTGAATAAAGCTTTCTTAAAACCTACACCTGCGTCCTTTTGTCATTACAACGCCCCTTATAGTATCGCTAATATAAACAAAGAAAACATTAAACAGCCACCACAAATGGCGGGTAGTTGCCCTTAAATAAAACTGCTTTCATTTTTGTATTATTTAGAATTATCCGAAGAACAGAATACAGATTAATTTTCATATGATATTTTTTAACGTAGAGTCAGCTCTTTCAATCACTTTCTTTTTTTTTCAGTTGCTAATTTTAAAAAAGTAATGATATACCCACAAAAAAAAAAGAAAGAATAATCTACCCACATACACACATACGCAAAAGCACAGGTTTGGCTTATTTTAGGTTAGATTAGTGAATTTCAACGAGGTTATTATTTTTTTGTCTATATTTCTGAGATGAGGTATTATAATTATTTACATTGTTTGGACTCTTATTTTCATCTTTGTTGCCATATTCACGACGTTTCGGCCGCTCTTCAGGTGATCGGAATTTCGTAATGGACTCTTTATTTCCGGGTAGATTAGAACAATCTATCACATGCCATGCCGTTTCCGGATGTCTCAGTTATCTCACTTTAACACACAACTCGCCAAGGTTTTGTTCACTTCTGCAGTAGCCATGTATTGAACTCACAACTCTTTGGTTCAGGTCACTGGATCCAGCCAACGATTTTATCCACAGGGCCATGTATCCTTGAGAACATCGGTGTATGAATTATTGGGACTTAATGTCTCAGTAACTATTTTTACCAGAGCTCATATTGCAATTTTGTTGTTATTATTGATTTTTTTTAGCAGTCCATATTACTGGTTCTCCTATTTATTTCTATACTTGGCCAGCTCAAGAGATTTTTATGACCTAGCATATGTACTGATTTCTTAAGTTTTCGTATTTTCCAGTGATATTCTATGTCTATTATTTCAACTTCATCTCTCATATGTGGTCAGCTACGACTGATTTTTCTATATCCCCTCGTGTTACGGCTTTACAATATTCTTGCAGTCTTATATTAAGGGGCGGCCTATTTCTCTTTTATTATTTCTTACCAATGTTTCACGAGATGGCGTACACACAGTCCTTTGTAATGTTCTCCTCTATGGGGGGATTTACTCGGAAGAAGTATCTGCGAAGTGTTGAACCACTTTTGATGGTCGTGCTGATGTTATACGGACCACAGATCTTTTGTATCTTTTCCGATAATCCCTTCACATAGGGTAGGCAGACCGAAGATGTTTTCTGTGTGTTGTTATCCTCTTGTACTCTTCTGTCGTGAATATAGCAACAAAGCTGAGGACAACAGCCCGAACAATGTAAATAGTATCAATTATTATTGTTTGTTTATATGTGAAACTATAGCAGGGGTTCCCAGTCAGGGGGGGGGGATTAAGGGGAGAAATCGTTTACTTTTTCGTTTTTTTATTTACAGAATTTTTTTATTGAATTATAATACCCTGGCATATTATTGAACATTTTGTTTAATGAAGTATGCTTCAGTTTATTTATTTAATAATTAATTATGAATTAAAAAAAATTACTGTACATGTATTCAAGTTTAAAAATCCATCAACATTTTCTATTGCTATTAAATATGTAAAATTCCTCTATAAAAATAATCCATGTAAATATATCTGTACTAATATGAAAAAGGATGAACATTTTCAATAATATATGCATATTATTTGGAATGCACCTGTTGAATCGGAGAATCTTGGAAAGCTGTAACTGTGATTCTGAATTATGGTGAAAAGGGTGCATTGGGCAAAAATGGTTGAGAACTACTGGTCTACATGTAAGCATTGAGTTTCTAGGTAATCATTGATTGTGTATATTTGAGTCTGCAGACATTCACCCGGAAGATGGTCCCATTTGTGTAGATCTTATTCATTTGTAGGGAATGTAATCGGCGTATAAGCCCCGTTGACAGGGTACGAGCGAGCAATAGAAAGAAAGAGAGAGAGAGAGACAGAGAGATACAGAGAGAGACAGAGACAGAGAGAGAAAGAGAGAGAGAGAGACAGAGATAGAGGGGCTTAAATAGGGAGAAAGAAAAGTACGATATTGGAGTTAACGAATAGCCAGATTTTCTTTACGTTTCACTAATAACACTTAAATTGGGAGAGATAGCGGTATGAAAATATTTATACACGTGCTGGTATACTGTCAATCCTATACCACAACCGCGGCAACTGCTGGGACCTTTTTTCAGATATACGGTAGTGTACCTGAATCTTTTAGCATTTTACAATAAACACCGGTTCCCTTACGGCCATTTTTATCCTTCATCAGCATAGCTGCTACTAATTTCCAGGAGAGCAACTCATTGCGTTTTCTTGGTCTCACATTTTTCACTGACAGGAAGTAGGGCAATTATATTGAATCAATTGCTAGGTTTGCTGCTCAGAAGGTTGCTTTACTGTATCGTGTCAGAGATTTTTTCTCGTCAAAATACATCTTGCACATTTATAAATTCGTCCGTTCCTTGCATATTGCTGCCATATCTGGTCTGGTTCCCGAGACTCTCAACAAAATCCAAAGAAAGGTCTGTAATATTATCGGTCCTGTCCTGGCATCTCGATTTCAGCCTGTCTTTTCTCTAAATATTTTCATGACAGTTCTTCCAATGAGCTCTACTTCTTGGTACCTCGACCGCGTGAATTTAAGCATAATACTAGATTGGCAATTAGGTCTCATCTTTCTACTGTAGCAATAGCTAGATGTAACCGTAAGTTTTATTTTAATGGTTTCTTTTGTCACACTTTTCACCTCTGGAACATTGATTGGTTCATACATTTTTAAGGCTTATCAACCTTTTTCAGGTTATTTAAAGCCAGAAAATATATTTAGATTGTATTAATTTTTTTTTTGTGGGGCGATAATAATGGTTTAGTGATACAAGTTTTACTAATTAACCCATAGCTGGATGGAGAAAAGGTGAATTGTATTTGTGCCTAAGTGAATACAACGAAGACAACGGAAATTGGAACCCGATTCTCCAGTTAACAATTCCGAGTCATTATCCATTACACCACCCGCGCATCCAAACTTATATCATCTGTATTCCGAAGCGGTTACAGATCTAGGTACTGACCAGGCTCAACATTGCTTAACTCCGGTGGTCGTAAGGGAACTGGTGTTTCAACGTGATGTGGCCGTAAGCCTCTTCCGGTTTCTTGCTTCCCTGTCAACTACAGTCGTCAAAGATTTTATGCAACATCAATCGTAATCTTCTGTCTTCTTGAAATCTGTTCTTTTATTGTCCTTTCTTCTTACTAAATTTTACTAATTCTCTTCACCTCCCAGTAACTCTCTTGCGTCTTAGTGGCATTATCGCCTTGCTCGGGGTGAAATGATTAAAAAATAAAGCTCAAAACGACGAGAAATCAAACAGATAAAAAAATTAACAGATAAGAAACACTATTCTTGCTGATAAAGTATTCCGCCAACATGTTATAAGAATAATGTCAATGTAAATTGTTAGAAGCTAGACTCTTAGTGCACGTATGAAACACGGGAACATAAGTTAAGTAATTGATTGCATCACGTCTCCTGTATCAAATACATAGATTTCTTAGATAAGGAAATCAGAGAAAGCACGTTACATCCTGACGAAGAATATACGTGTTTTTCTTTATCCTTCCTTTTGCTTTCATAGTGAAGAAGTATGATCGTTCAGACGTTCCATATGCCGATTAAACACGAAAAACATTCGTTTTATCGTAAAAGGTTTCGAAACTATTTTATATCTACGAAAATATCGGTTGATAATATATCGTAAATGCAGTCGGAATTTCTGGGAAGAAGAGTAATCATTATTTACATTCGAACGGGTGTCCTCATCTGCGTTGTTGTTGTTGTTGTTAGCACAACGCTTCAGCCATTGTCTCCTCCGTCCTTCGTCATCAAGTCTCTGTCGATCCGGGTAATCTTCAAGGAATTCTGAACTGAATTCTTCCAGATGTAGATTGTTCTCGTTCCGTTGTCCATGTCTCGGGATATCTCGTCTAGCTCTTTTTTTTTCAGTACTGCTCAGTTATTGCCCAATCTCTTTCCATTGATTTAAAGTCGACTCTGACTCGGTGGACACAGGATTAGCTGTACTAAAAAAAGATCAAAATGAACTCGTCTCGACCAATTTTGTATCCGGAGTTATCTTTCTCTTAGACTATTTGCCAACCAAGGCTAATGAGTTCAAACTGCGCTGCTATTTAACACAATGACTAACAACGACGAAATAACTTGTGACTGGCAGTTTTTATTATGACGCCGACTACGTATTATTTTGTGCCAACAATGTGTTTCTCGGAGTGAAAATTTGAATGTGAAAACAATGTTCAACCTTCAGTTGAAGCTATGAATCAACGCTTAAGAATTATTATAAAGTTGTTGTCTGACGTCGGATTCGTAATTAACCTCTGGCAGTCAACGTGTTAACACATAGCTGGGGAGATAGATTCATACTTTTCTCAGTGGCATTTGTGAGAAAGTGAACACAAAGGATTCGGTCGGGAATCGAACTCGGGTCGCTAAACCCCCTTTTAATCCCGATAACCGCTTCATTGCGTGCATGCCCATTTTAACACGCTATCGTACAGATAGCATTTAATAGTGAAGAAAGAAGGAAAATGCAAATAAGGAGAATGAAGATAAGTAAAAAGGAACGAGAACGTTGATAAGAGAAGAAGGACAAGTGAAAGAAAAAGGAACAAGTTTGAAAGTGTATGACTTTGAATAAAACCAAGAAAGAAGAATTTTAATGAAAGAAGATGAATAAACATTTGTGTTAATTTGTTCTGTTGTTGAGCGCAAAGCTATTGATTAGTGGAAAGTAGGGATACAAAACGATCAGTTGGGACTAAAAATATTGACTTATCTTTCATTTCTATGATTCTATTTTCTTTCTCTTTTATTCTTTTTCTTTCTTTTTGCAAGTTCTTTCTTTTACTTTTATTTCTTTTCTCATTCTTACTTTCGTTTTCGTTTTTCCTCCTTTGATCACATTATTCTTCGCTTTTCTTCTTTTTATTATCTCTCCTCTCTGCATTCGCTTTTTCTTTCTTTATTTCTTTCTTTCTTTCTTTTTTCATTGCTGCTTGCTTTTTTTCACAGCCCTTTTCACTTTGCCTCTTTCTTTCTTTCTTTCTTTCTTTCTTTCTTTCTTTCTCCAGTGCTGGTTGCTTTTTTTCACAGCCCTTTTCACTTTGCCCCTTTCTTTCTTTCTTTCTTTCTTTCTTTCTTTCTTTCTTTCTTTCTTTCTTTTTCCAGTTTTTGCTTTTTTTCACAGCCCTTTTCACTTTGCCTCATCTTTCTTTCTTTCTTTCTTTCTTTGTTTCTTTCGTTTTCTTATAGACATTTTCAATTTACCTCTCCTTCCTTCCTTCCTTCCTTCCTTCCTTCCTTCCACTGACAACTTGGATTCTCTTTATGGCTTATAGTAATCATCTTAAACCAATCTTTCTTCAATTTTTCTTTTCTCTTGAATTTCTTTCAAATTCCAACGATCCCTTTGCCAATGTCGTTTCCTTTTCAATTTATTCTCATTCCTTCCATCTTACTATCGCCTAATATCACTCCATCTCCTTGCACTTCACCTGTGTCCACTATTCAAGACCATTACCTCCCACCTAAATCCCTCTTTTCGCCATCATCAATTTGCACCCAACCTTAATTAGCTAAGTTGGAAGGACCGTGGCGCAAAACTCCTCTCATTTGCTTTTTCTTTGTTTGTTTGTTTGTTTCTTTCTTTCTTTGTTTGTTTCTTTCTTTCAATTGGCTTCTATGTCTGTTTATCTCTCTCTATCTACTTTATAGTTTTCTATCATTTCTTTTTACTTTCTAATTTTAGTACTTACGTTTTATATAGCCCTTATCCCTTTTTTCTTTTTCCTTTCTTTCTGTTCAAGTACTTGTGTTTCTACATTTCCCTTTCTTTCTTTTTCTACAAACTTTTCCCTTTTACTCTTTCTTTTTCAAGTACTTATGTTTCTACCGACATTTTCCTTTTCTTTCTTTCTTTCTTTCTTTCTTTCTTTCTTTCTTTCTTTCTTTCTTCAGTGCTTGCTTTTTTCACAGCCCTTTTCACTTTGCCACACCTTTCTTTCTTTCTTTCTTTCTTTCTTTCTTTCTTTCTTTTCTACCATCTATTAGGTCCCAATACCACTGATTTCTTCCTTCCCGCATCGCTCCACTTCTTTCATATCTTTTCTTCTGTCATTCATTCAAAGTACACATCACTTCTTACCTCTCTTCTCTGTCCCTTAACCGGTTAAATTATACCTGTACTTCTGGTTTCGGTCCTGCGCTTTCGTTTTCGCCTCCATTTTTGTCATAACATCCTGGCAGTGACGAACGATCAACCGGCCGGCCGGCCGACCGGCCGCCTGATCTATCAAGAAACATATACAAAAATCTATCACCACTCCGCTTCCAATCTCATCTTGCATATAAAACTGAAACAATCATTCAGAAGAACTTACTGAAATTTACAGACGCACACAAGCAAGACACGCACACTCACTTATAAACTGTCAGCTGAAAACAACCGCTTTCTCAGATCAATGGTTAAAAATGGTTTCTAGCGAGAAACATACTTCGATCCGCGCGGGCTGGCGCTACAAAATCACAATGAACTCTACCAAATAACAGAAGTCATATCACTTGAGAACTTGAACAACAACTAAACGAATTGCATTCTCGAAGTGAAAATAATGATGTAATCCACCCCACCCCAAACAAAAGGTTAGAAAGATAACTGCCATCAATACTGGAAAGAGAGATAACAGCTACCGGACTGGGGAAACCTATTTTCCTGAAAAATTTGTTTTAATAGACAGATTTTATAAATTTTATAAATTTCAACCGATTATTATCATCATTAAATCTATAAAAGGCAGAATGTGTGTGTGTGTGTGTAACGAATGCACGGCCGCAATTTTCGACGGATTTGCACCAAAATTTACACGCACATGCTCCAAGTTAGCGGGAAGGCTACTTGCATTTACCAAGACCTACGTTGAATTTCCCAACTCCCATCGATAGTGGAAATAATCGGTTTTTTCATGCTTCTACGGCAGTTTTCATGTAGTTTGCAGCCATTTTCTACTGGCCAGAGTGAGAGCCTATAGCTGGCTGCCACGAATAGGCGGGGAGATTCTATTGGCCAGCGTGAGAGCCAACAGCTGACTGACACCAATGTTAACTAGCATGCAAAAAAAAAATCGATAGCAGCATTCGTCACAAATGGGAAAAATTTAAATCTGCATGGTACTTTACTCCAATTGGCTCATTCGCTTGCTTAAACTCAACGTTGATTCTGATTCCGCAGAACTGGGTTGGTGTGAAAAAAAGTATTTGTTGTTAACATTCTTTTTCATTCAGTTTTTCTAGTTACGAGTCCTTTTTAAAGTTGATCGTTTTGTGTTCATTTTGTTTAGTTCTTTTTTCGTAACAGATTTAATGTTTAGTATAGAGCTTAGAAAAAAATCGCAGTGTGAGATAGGCAAGAAGTAAGGCATGTAGCAACATCAGCACGGCAAGGGGCACTCCTTTAAAGGCAAGGAAGGGCAAAAATATTTTAAGTCAAGTGATAGCGATTGCTGTATGAGTCGTACGATTTTTGAATCAAGCACGGGCAACGCCGGGACGTGCTGCTAGTCATACATAAACAGAAATATATCCATATATTCACGTATACTTACAACGAAATATATGTACATACACGCGCAAACACTTGGAGCCTGCAATATTTCGTGCCTGCAAAATCGGTGTGTCAGAAGGGTGGTTATTTCCTTGACACCGCTATTAATGTATACACTTTTGACTCCCTCGGCAAAGGTTAAACATTGTGTATTTGTATATATGCTGTGAATGTAGAACCCTGTATCGCCGACAAATAAAACTGCTTGAGACATTCCACATTCACTGCCTTCAGCGAATCTTGCGCATTACTTGAAGGGATAAAATCCCTCACATTGAGGTTCTTCAACGTGCGGAGGTCGTCAGCATCGAGGCCATCATACGACAACGCCTTCTGCGTTGGGTAGGGCATGTTGTGCGGATGTCGAACAGTCGCCTCCCAAAAATTGTATTCTACGGAGAGCTTGAGATCTGCAGTAGCCTACGGTGGTGCCCAAAGAAATGGTTTCGGGACTACCTTAAGTCTCCTGCAATATCGATCCAACACAATTGGCGAACCTTACAGGGGATAGGGCCGGCTGGCGGTCTCTCCGGGCCACCGGAGTGGCGCACTTCGGGAAGGAGAGACGAGGAGCGCTCGCGGGGAGGCCACGTCAGCGTCATCTGCGGCCTGCCAATTCCTCACCTGGCATGTTTTCCTGTCACCTGTGCCCGAGAGCTTGTCGTTCGCGGATCGGGCTGCTGTCTCATTTGGCAGCCCACAGGAGACGGACGGAGATGGATGGACAGCGTCGTCGTCAGCAATGACGGACAGCCTAAGAGATATGCATGTAAAAGCAGAAGATGTTGATAAACCGTAAAAAAACAAATCAATCTGTCATAATGTGGGAATATCACATAAAAATGCTACTTCATCACATATTCTTATATTCACAACTTTCCAGTTAATGTTTAGACGTTGAGAAAAGAAATATCAATTCAATAATATGAGATTTGAATTAACCAACTAATATTTCCTTTGTAATGATTTTCAAACCGTATCACAAAGGACAAAATCAAAGAAAACATTACTGAACTGTTACGTAATATTAGTTCTCTTATATGGCAGTGAACGCTGGGCAATTTCCTTACTGATGAAGAAGAGACTTGAAACAACAGAAATGTGGTTCTACGAAGTTTTAGAGAAAAGGAAAACAAAAATTACACTTTTTTTTTTAAAGCATTACACCTCGAGCAAGGCGTGAAGCCACAAGGATGCAGGTTGCAGAAGATTTGGATCGACAGCAGATAGGAGTGATAGAAGAAAGGATGAGGAGAAGGATAGTGGATAGATCAATGTAACTGGAGATGTCGATTGACATTACATTTGAATAGTTGGAGATTATAGCTCCCAGGGAAACAGTAATTGGGAAGGGTGTTCCACAGGCGAGAAGTGCGAGGTATGAAGCTATTGGAGTAGAAGAGACGGCTACATTTAAAAGTTTCTACAGTGTAAGGGTGAGAGCGGGATGCCAGCCTCGTAGTGCGCTTGAATTCATGGAGCCTGGGAACCAGTGAAAGCAGCTCATCGGAGCAATTACCATGGAAGTATTTGTAGAAAAGACAGAGAGGCGACGGAGCGTCTGTGAGAGAGCAACTGTAGACGAGATGCCAGATCAGGGCCAATTATATTACATATCCGTCTCTGGATCTTGTCAAGAGCTCCGAGGTAAACAGAAGGTGCCCCAGACCATATATGGCAGCAATACTCCATGTAAGGGCGAATGGTTGATTTGTATATTTGAAGTATCGATTCCGGGGAGAAAAATTTCCTGGCGCGGCACAGAGAGCCAACTTTCCTCGCGGTGGACGATGCACCGCGAGGAAAGTTGGCTCTCTGAACACAGGATGAGACAGTTGAAGTTTCTAGGGCACATAATGAGGAAAGAGGGATTGGAAAATTTGGTACTCGCAAGATAGATTGAAGGCAAGAGGACAGAGGAAAACAACGTATAACCTACCTAATGAGCTTGAGTGAATGGAATGGCGGAAAAAGGTTTAGGAGCGATAAGAAACAGACAAAATTTATTAAGAGCTACAAAGAAGAAGAAATTGTGGAGAGCCATGATCACCAACTTCCTGGAGGGACACGACACTCAGAAGA